CTGCCCACCAGGACCCCTGTACTCCTGCCGCCCTGCTCTGGGCCCCATCAGCACTGGCTCCAGGACACCAGTGTGGACCCTGCACCCGCTCATTCCCAGTGCCCCCCAGCCCTGCAGTACAGGCAGGGGGCAGTGTGCAGCCCCAACCCCCTGCTCTGCAGCAGGGAATGAGCTGGTGCTGAGTGCAGGGAAAAGCAGTCCCTCCCCAGCCCCGTGGCCAGTGCTCCCTGCTCCAGTTGCTTGTAGCCCATGCGGGGCTGTCCTGAGCAGGCACAAGTAGCTCCACGCAGGCTGTGAGAGGCTGCAGCACAGGGTGCTGGCCATGGGGCAGGCAAGGGGCCGCTTTTCCTGCGTTCAGCACCAGCTTGTAACCCACCCCCACTGCTAGCCTGGGCTCCAGGCTTGCCTGTTGGGGCTGTACCATGGTGGGAGCAGCTGCGGGCGGCCCCCTCGCTTGCTGTGCCAGGCAGTGTTTGCCACCACCGCCTCTGGGCTGCCCAGTGCACGAGCTCCTGGCGGGCAGCAGTAGCCAACACTGCCTGGTGTGGCAAGTGGGGAGGGGCTGTAGCTACTGCCGCTACAGTGCAGCCCCAATGGGCGAGCCAGCAAGGGGCCCACGCTGGCAGCAGGGGCGGGTTACAAGTTGGTGCTGAGCGCAGGGAAAAGCAGCCCCTCACCCACCCTGTGGCCAGTGCCCCGTGGGGCTGCCAGTGCTTGCTCAGGACAGCCCTGCGTGGGCTGCGAGCGGCTGCAGCATGGAGCACCGGCCACAGGACGGGCAAGGGGCCGCTTTTCCCTAGGCTCCTTCCCTGCCCTCTCCCCCGCTCCTTCCCCTCAGCTGAGTTTCCAGCGTGGTGCAGCTGCATGGTCCCAGGCCAGAAGCCCCTGCTGGGGCTTCTGGATTGGGGGGGCTGGGCCGGGCAGGCCCTGCTGTTGCAGGAGCCTGCCGGGCTTCCCCTGGGTCCTACTGCCCCTGGTTCTTGTCACTTTTGACAGGAACCAAAGAAAGATAAATATTTATTTTCTAAATTTTTTTTAGGGGCCCCATGGGCCAGATAGAATGGCCTCATGGGCCAGATCCAGCCCGCTACCCATCCCTGTCCTACAGTGAAGGAGGGAGTGGGGCTGGGGCAGGTGCTGCCTAGCCAGGGCACTGAAAGCCACTCTGGGGCAGGGAGTAGGACAGAGCCATAGGCGGCTCATCCAGAGGGCACGGGGCGGGGGGAGGGAGGAGTGGGCGGCTCCCTGCTGCTGCCCACATCCATGAGTGAGGCATGGTGGGTATGTGCGCCTCCCCCCCAGACTTGTGCATAGGGAGGAGGCAGGCTGTAGGCTCAGGGCCAGGGGCTGCACCAACCTTTTCCTGATCAGGAGGCTGTTCACGGCAGGCTCAGTTGTACAGGGCAGGAGGTGGCAGCAGCGCTGGGAGGAGTGGCTACAGGGGGGGTGGGGCAGTGCTACTGGGAATTGTAGGGTGGCTATAGCCCTCCAAACCCCCCTAGTCTCGCTGCTGCTGCCTGTGTACCCTGAGTGCAGCCCTGGTCCAGCCTCCCACCAGGAAGAGGCTGGCGCAGCCCACAGCGGGCAGCCTGACCTTGCCCCACACACATCCAGGAGGGACATACCCTCTCCCATGCCTCCCCCTGGGGTATGTGCAGCAGCAGGAGCTGCCCAGCCGTCCACACCCCCTGGATGAGCCACCTGCAGCTGTGCCCCATGCCCTGCTCTGGGGTCACATTTGCCGTCTTGGCTGCACAACCC